TGTATGTTCGACATATTGAATACATTAAAAAGTATTTTAAATATTCATAACTTTGAGCATACACGAAAATAAACAAATGTAATTATAACGATTTTATCATATTCATGGTATAGTTGAAGGCAATTAATCGGCACATACGATGTTCAATGTTTTCGATTATGGTATCAAAAGTTCGATAACACGATAATAACGGTAATTATCAATTGTTTCGAATTTCCATACATCGAAGCTGACTTTGATCTAATATTACAACGTTATTATACTTAGGTAGGTTACTTTTCCGGATTTTTTTACGCACTTCCTTGTTATACCTACACAGCACAATATAAAATGGTTATTGTAATTAAAATTTCCGAATATCAACGGAAATTATGAATTTATGATTGCAAGTGGAAATTGTGGTCGAATAATTATTATTCTTACCTGGCTTTTAGAATGTAGGTCACCATAGGTTTACGACGAAGAGTGCAATTCGGTTGAAAGGCAAATTCATTGGGACAAAAGTGTCCTTAAAATATCTACGAGTCGAATGAATTTATTCCTCTCTTTAAAGTAAAAGTAGGATTGTGAAAAGTAATACATGTTCGATTTCTTTCGACATTTTTACATATGTACATTGTATGCCGTATAATTTTACGTTTACTATAATTACGCTGCAGTTTCTGGACGCTGGTTACCGTCTTATACAAATCTTTAATGTTATTATAGCACTATGTACATTATATCGATCGAACTGTATATCATATTCGTTGACGTATGTTAATATGACGTTTGCATAATCAATTTGAGTGTCATAGATAAAAGGGAGCTTCTAATTGAAGTTTCAAACTTTTGAATTTAGGGCAACCAGTTCGTTTTAAACTCGAAGTACAATTTGTTTGTTTGAACATAAGAGAAAAGCAATTTTCTAACCTTAGATACAAAGTCTGATGTATTATTCACACTTTGAAACCATTTAAATTACGTCTAAAAATTTTCTCGTACAAATCAAACGTTTCACCAGTTACATGATCAACTATAAAAATTGACCACTTGGATAAATGCGATTATATTATAAATCTATTTATATTAGCATAGAAATGTTTCTCGATTTGACCTGTTGCAATTATAGCCCGTTTTATGTCACAAAACCAGTGTTACTGTATAATCATTTTCGATACGTATCGTTTTACGAAGAAAGTGTGTACTATAAATATTTCACATAGTATTAAAAAAATAACTAAAATATAACCAACGTATCAGAGTATGAATAACAAAAGCAACGATGATGATTTCACTCGAAGAAATTGTTTTGATATATAAAAACATTGTCGACGAGCCTAAATTTTTTATTTTCGAATATTAATATTACTGTGCACTTGCGAATCGAACCGCGAGAAATCTTTCCTCTTCAGGATTCTAAGGCCTGAGAAACTGTCGTTGCACACGTTTCTATCGTGACTATTGCACGGCAAATTAAACTTAGGCGACCTGTTTCTGGGACAAAGAGTAAGTAGATAGACGATTAACGTCGTCGACAATTCGGCCAGTGGTTTTGAACGGGAAATATTGTGTGTTAGCCTGTCTTCTTAAATGTTTAACCACTGCAATTATCTAGTTCTTTTTCTTTTTATTAATTTTTTTGATAATACATACTTTAGGAAGAATTCCTTACTTTGTTGTTCCACGTTGGCACGGATTAACATGAATTTATAATATTATGGTACTTTAATACACCATCAATGTTTATTTTACATTATGGAATAAAGAAAATTTCGTTATACATGCGGTGAATTGCAAATATAAAAAAAAAGAATTGTTAAACAGTATTTTTCTTCGTTTATGATACTCAGAGACGTTACACATTCCTTTTTCTCCGAAGAAATTTTTAAAATGTGGTTTCGTTTTGCCTCTGTCAATAAGCTAATCTACCCAAGAGCTTTTGCTTTTACCGCAACACGTGTGGTCGTGAAATTCTCGTTACAAGGGAAAGCCTGTCTTTCGCGTACAAGTAATGTAAAATTAGTATTAAAATATACATTAAAATTAAAGTTAAAGTATCTACACAAAAGAATGAAAATTAAAAGAGTAATATTAAATAGCAAAGTTGAAAAGGGAAAAATGGAAGTAGCATAGAAAAATAAAGTGTAATTAGTATTTGAAGAGTGAAGAAAAATCTTTTTTCTGAAAAGGTAGTTTCTATTTTGTATTTTAGCGCGTTTCTGGTGTTCGTTCATATTCCATCGATTAACTGTATATTCCTATTATTTGTCCCTTTCATTCTTTGCCTGTAACTTGATTACACGTGAGCCTGATACCGCATCCTACTAACACGTGAAAGTTTCAAGAACGACAGCTTCTCACAACTCGACGCT